ACCTGGATGGAACTAGAGTCTATAATACTGAGGGACCTCTCACAAAAACAAAAATCCGAATATCACATGTTCTCACTCATATAATGGACCTTGAACATCCAATGCAATACTATGAGAAAATGACGGATGGTACTGGGAACCTACGGGGGGGAGGGGGATGGGATTAACAGTAGCAAATATCTGTCGGGGGATGGGAAAACACTTCTTATCTACAGGGTGCCTGAATGAAACGTCATTGTACACCTACCCTTAACTGTACCCCACAAAACCATAATAAAAACTACTGATTAATGAAAAAAAAAAAAAAAAAAAAAAGACATTTCTCTATTATGTAGAAAATATAGAAGATACACAAATTGCCAGCACACATGTGAAAAGATGCTCAACATCACTAATCATTAGAGAAATGCAAAGAAAACCACACTGAGATACCACTTTATGCCATTAAAAAACAAGACAAACAGAAAATAACAAGCATTGGGGAGGATGTAGAGAAACTGGAACCCTTGTACACTGTTGGTGGGACTGTAAAATGGTGCAGCTGCTGTGGAAAACAGTATGGCAGCTCCTCAAAAAATTAAAAATAGAATTACCATTTGTCCAGCAATTCCACTTCTGAGTATATAACCAGAGGAATTGAGAGCAGAACTCAAACAGATATTTGTACAGTCATACTCACAGCAGCTTTAGGCACAGGAGCCAAAGGTAGAAGCAACCAAAGTGTCCATTGATGGATGAATGGATAAACAAAATGTGGTATATACGGACAATGGAGTGTCATTCAGCCATAAACAGGAAGAAAATTCTAATACATGCTACAACATGGAAGAACCTGAGGACATATACTAAGTGAAATAGGCTCATCACAAAAAGACAAATACCGTATGATTCCACTGTTCTGAAGTAACAAGAGTAGTGAAATTCACAGAGTCAAAAAGTAGAATGGTGGATACCAGAAGCTGGGAGGAGGGAATGGAGAATTATTGTTTAAAGCTTTAATGGGTATAGAGGCTTAATTTGCAAGACAGAAAAGAGTTCCGGATATTAGTTGTACAATAATGTGAACGTACATACTTAACACTACTGAACTATACACTTAAAAATAACCAAGGTGGTAAATTTTATGTTAGGTGTGTTTGACCACAATTAATAATTTAAGGAAGTTTTTGAGCAGTGGAAAATTAAACTTTAGCATGTAGCATGGATTAGGATAGAGATGAGGAAGGAGGGTTAAAAGGTTGTTCTAGCCAAGTAAAGTGGTATTGAGGTCCTAGACTGGTAGAAGTGATGGCCTTAGAAAGGCAAGGAGAGATGCTAAAGACATGGAGCTGTGGCTCACAACTTTCCTCAAACCCCCTTCCTAATATGCCTGTATCACTGGACCTTGTAGGGCTTTTGTTTGTTTTTAACATGTTGTTCTTCTGGTTTATTTAATGTTTGCTTGTGTCCATGTTATCTTAGCCTCTATAGCTCTAGGTAGCAGGCACCCTGCCTACAAATCCTTTATGTATAATATTTACCACCTAATACCCAGCACCACGTAGAGATGGAAGCTTAATAAATGCTATCTTTTTTTTTTAAGAAACAAGGTCTTACTTTGTCACCCAGGCTGGAGTGCAGTGTTGCGACCAAAGCTCACTGCAGCCTGGCTCATGCAATCCTTCCACCTCAGTCTTCCAAGTAGCTGGAACTATAGGCACATGCCACCATGCTCAGCTAATCTTTTTAAACATTTTTTTTTAGAGATGGGGGTCTCACTATGTTGCCCAAGTTGCTCTTGAACTCCTGGCCTGAAGCTGTCACCTCCCTCAGCCTTCTGAGTAGCAAATGCTATCATAAGTACATGTATTTGGTTAGGTAGCAAAAATTACAAAAGAGCACTGACCTAGTTTTGATATCAATTGAAATTTTCATAAGCACATGAAAGACTATAGGGTGTTACTGGTGTTTGAAATATTCCAAAACTAGTTTTTGTTTCTGAATAAAATTTGAACCCCAAAATGATACTGAAAGCATATAAATAAACATGTCTCATATAAAACTGACAAGACCTTTAAACCTTTGTGTCCTGACAGCTTGTGGTCATCAGTGACCCCCACATCAAGATTGATCCTGACTACTCAGTGTACACTAAGGCCAAAGAACAGGGCTTCTTTGTGAGGAGTCATGAAGGAGGAGACTTTGAAGGGGTATGCTGGCCTGGTATGAATCACTTTAGACACTTATTATTACCACTTGTTCAGACCCAATTAATGAAGGCTGCATGGCCATCCTTCTTGTTCCTTATAGATGTCTTTTGCTCCTCTAGCTAAAATTCCATCACCTAACTTAAAGAAGAGACAGTATCGCCTTCTTTATATCTTTCATAACACCTGGTACAGTGTGCTTCATGTATATTTATCAGTCGATAATTGAGTGAATGAATGAAAAATAAACAAACAAGCAAATCTCAGTGGCATGCTATTTCTTCAAGCAAAGAGAGGTAAAAATCAGGGAATGAGAAAAGGGGAGGAAGAGAAGAAGAAAAAGTCGTCCTGCCAGCTCTCTCCTTGCGATTGCACCTTGCCCTTTTCGCCCATACTTTTGACTTCTCAGCCTTTCATGAGTGACCTCAGCTGCCTCTGGCAACTATGGATTCTTCACTTCCAAAGTTATTTGTTTAAAGCCTTGGTAGAAACTCCCCAGTGCCAAAAGGAAATCACCTCTCTGGCATGGCACTCTACCATAAATCCACATACTTTAGAGAAGCTCCATGCCTTTTTTATTTCCCCTTTCATCACTTGAACACAGTTCTCTATTCTCTTTAAAAACCAAGAGAGTCACTGCAGGACATGTGCTGTCCTTACGTGGGCTACCTTAGACCATTAGTGAGGCACAAGCGCCATCCTGATGCTTGTTCATGGACATTCCCCTGGGCCTCTGGTGTCAAAAGGTCTACTGACTGTCGCTGGAGCCCTGCATAACCTTCATTCACTTCTCACCAGACCACACCTCTGTCTTTTATATTTGTTGCAAGGTGCCTATTTCCTAGCTCTTGCATCTGATAGCTTTTTTTTTTTCTTTAATTGAGATGGAGTCTCACTATGTTGCCCAGGCTGGTCTCCAACTCATGGACCCATGCAATCCTCCCACCTCAGCCTCCCAAAGTGCTAGAATTACAGGTGTGAGCCACCACGCCCTGCCTGATATCTTGTGCCTCACTGATGACCTAAGATAGCTCATGTCTTACCAGGAGAACCACTGTTCCTAACAGGCTGTCTACTGTTCTGCCTCTACAGGTCTCTCCTCTTACCTGGATTTCACCAATCCCAAGGTCAGAGAGTGGTATGCAAGTCTTTTTGCTTTCCCCGTTTATCAGGTTGGTTTTTATTCTTTTTTTCTTTTCTAGTTACTTGAAAGGGTGAAAGAAGGAAAAAAATGATTGAATAGAACTACTTTGCTTTGTTGAGTAGCTCTTAATATATAATGCTTATATAAAAGGCAAGGATGGCACTACATTACAGACTTAGGTAGTGTTGGGAAAGGTGCCAGTATATTACCAAAGGCATAAAAACTGTGATTTAGACCTCTATTGTAATAGATTCTATGATACATCAAAGTACTTATTGTAGAGATTTATTGTATTTTCAAATTGCTATTTTTTTTTCATTAATCAGTAATTTTTATTATGGTTTTGTGGGGTACAGTTAAGGGTTAGGTGTACAATGACGTTTCATTCAGGCACCCTGTAGATAAGAAGTGTTTTTCCATCCCCCAACAGATATTTGCTACTGTTAATCCCATCCCCCTCCCCCCATAGTTTCCCAGTACCATCAGTCATTTTCTTATAGTATTGCATTGGATGTTCAAGGTCTAAATAAAATAGAATTCTATAACTATTATTTAAAGTTGATACATGTGAAAATATTTTACAAAGTATATGTCATTAAAAGTGAAATATAATGATATATCAATTATTTTAAAATATGATAAGAACTACAGAGAGAACTTCAGAGACCACATCTGGAGAACTATTTGCAGCCAATTATGATGATATTGATGATGATAAGGAGGAGGAGGAGGAAGATGATACCTAATACAAATTGAGGACTTGCTGTGTGCCAAGCACTGCGCTAAGCACTTTATGTGCATTATACTATTAGTTTTCACAATAACCCTTTGAAGTTGGAACTATAATTAAATTGAATCCTACAGAGGAAATTGAGGCATGGAGAAGTTTAAAAACTTGCCAGTGTCACCCATCTAGTAAGTGATGGAACCAAAATTTGAACACAGGTCTGTTTGTCTCCCAAGCCCAGCTCTTAACCACTAAACTCTAGTTTCTGAGCATCACGTATTAGGACACTGGTACATAACTTAGGGCAGGGATAGACAAGCCTTGGGCCAAATCTGGTCACCCTTATTCATTTCCCTGTTATCTATGACTGCTTTCGCACTATTATGGCAGAGTTGAGTAATTGAAAAAGAGACCTCATGGTCTGCAGGGTTGGAAATATTTACTATCTGACCCTTTACCTAAAATGTACAGATTATGGTAACAAAGCAAATCTTTCAAAGATTAGAGAGAAGATAGACTCTTGTTATGCACAGCTATAATTGCCCTGAGTTAAGAGTTGTGGTAGATTAGACCAGAGCAGTAACTCACATCTGTAATCTCAACACTTTGGGAGGCCAAGGCAAGAGGATTGCCTGAGCCCAGGAGTTCAAGACCAGCCTGGGCAAGTTGATGAGACCCCATCTCTACAATAAATTTTTTAAAAATTAGCCAGGTGTGGTGGCGTGCCCCTGTAGTTCCAGCTACTTGGAAAGCTGAAGCAGAAGGATCGCCTGGGCCCAGCAGGTCGAGGCTGAAGTATCTGTGATCATGCCAATACACTCCAGCCTGGGCAACAGAATGACTCCAACTCAAAAAAACAAAAACAAAAGACTTGTAGCAGATAATGGATGATAAAGAGCCTAAGCATGAACATTCACAATCTTTCCTACAGAGGTTTTTATGCCAAGGTCTTGGAGTGAACTTCCTGGAAAATATATATGTCACAGATAATACATTACAGCAGTCTTTTGTTCATCAACAAATATTTAGTGAGAGCTTTCTGTGGGTCAGGTACTACTATTCTAGGTGTTTAGGATTTTTAAATGAACATAGGAGACAAAATTCCCTGCCCTATAGAGCTTGTATTCTAGCAGTGGAGCAGAGAACAGAGCATAGGTAATACACATAATAAATCAAAGGAATAAGAAAGGGAAATGGGGAGAGCAATGTTATAAACATCACTAATGTGGGAGATTTACTTCCTAGGGATCTACGGACATCCTCTTCCTGTGGAATGACATGAATGAGCCCTCTGTCTTTAGAGGGCCAGAGCAAACCATGCAGAAGAATGCCATTCATCATGGCAATTGGGAACACAGAGAACTTCACAACATCTATGGTTTTTATCAGGTAAGCCATTAAAAAATAAGTCAGCTGGACTCATGTGGCCTTTCTTTGGGACTGAAAGTCATTTGCTTTGTAATAGCTATACTATACTGTTCATTTCTCTTTTGTGTCTTTTCTAACTGCAATGAGTCTTAGGTAGTAGTCAGTATAGAACTTTTTCTTTTTCTTTTTTTTTTTTTTTCAGTTGGAGTCTCACTCTGTTACCCAGGCTGGAGTGCAGTGGCACGCTCACAGCCACTGCAGCCTCAACCTGCTGGGCTCAGGTGATTCTTCTACCTTAGCCTTACAAGTAGTTGGAACTATAGGCACGCGCCACCACGCCCGGCTAATTTTTTGATTTATTGTTGAGATGAGGTCTCGCCAAGTTACCCAGGCTAGTCTCAAAGCCATAGACTCAGGCAGTCCTTTCACCTCAGCCTCCTAAAGTGCTGGGATTATTGGTGTGAGTCACTGCATCTGGCCCAATACAGGGCTTTTTATTGTTTCTCTTTTTGCTTCTTTTCCTTCCATAATGAACTTTGAAATATTATGAGATTAATGAGGAAAAATAGAAACCTCTGCCTTAATGGGAGCCATTAGTAAATGGCACTCACTAGACACTACTTCAGACTTTTATTGATGCAGGTAGTGTATAAATCTGTAAGCAAAGATGATTAAAACAAATGTTTTGAAATTTCACAAATATCTGAGTACAGTGAGTCTTACATGTATACTAGGGGAGCAAGGTTTAGAATATGATACATAATTTCAATAAGTATATTTTGAATATATGGAGAAAGCCTCTCTTAAGTACTTAGCCTTCTCCAATAAAGGTGATAGAATTGTCTTTCATTTGCCAGTTACATCCAAAAGACTTGGCAGTCACTTGTCCTAATTTAAACCCTTGATTCTTTGTTATTTTCAAAACATTACTGCATTCCTATGGGCTGCCCATGAATTGGTATTTTCCAGTGGGATCTACTGGCTAGATATAGCAGTTTTCAGATAATATATGTTTGCCTCTCAAACAACCTGTTGCTGTAACTGTAAACTGCTTAGAGATTTTTCTTATGAAGGCCAGGGCCAGTCAATTACCTTTCTGAAACTCAGTTTTTTTTACTAATGAAAATTATGTCTCAGAGGTTATTGTACAGATTTTATGAGAAAACCTTATAAAATGCCTAGTAATAGTAAATCCTGAATAAATGCTAGCTTATTGTTTACTATTATTTTGATGCTATTGTTAATCAAAGAAAATGCTCTATTAATAGAGGAGTTTAGAGTTGTTTTATTACATCATGAAAATTATTTGGTGGGTTTATTTTAATATTTTTTTCTTTCACATTCCTACCTACTGTTGACTTTTGGCATGTTAGACATCTTACTGGGGATGTCTGCAGAATGCCTAATCCAGTCATCTCTTTGAACTCTTTCTCCTTTGACTTTATAGCAAATGGCAACTGCAGAAGGACTGATACAACGATCCAAAGGGAAGGAGAGACCCTTTGTTCTTACACGTTCTTTCTTTGCTGGATCACAAAAATATGGTAAGGAACGGCTCATATCAGACTGAAAAACACAAGTTAGCAACCTGTGTTGTCTCACCATTTATGGTATTTATGGCTACTGTGTTGATGCCTTCCTTTTCAATAGCCATTGGTCAAGCCTTTGACTATAGATAGTAATGTGCCTGAAGTATGCATTTTGTCCTATAAGACAAAGTAAACACATTTTGATCAAGTTTGCCACTTGTTTCTCACTGAAGAAATGGCCACTTAGTTTTTGAGAGAGTGACTTCAAAGTATTCAGTTTGCTGGATGGTCATCTCTGATCCTGTCTCTTTGATTTATCAAAACCAGAGAGATATACCTCTAACACATTTCATTAACCACCTGTTCCATTTAGTAATATGGCTTAAAATAGATCTGGCTGTTGCTTGTGGTCCGGGTCATAACTGGATCCAGTTTACAATCTAATACAGATCTAGTTCAACTTAACCACCCCATGGCTGGCAGGCTATTTTAAGTGCCCTGGCCTTGCATAAACAACTGAGTGTAGGTCCTAGTTTGAAGAATCCAGCCATTACTATACTGTGAACATGATTAGGCTTCCTACTTCACTCCTAAAAACCAGCCCCTGTGGTACTCTGGAAAGGGCCAAGATACCATCTCAGACAAAGATTCATGTGCAGAGATGCTCACCCATAGCATTAGTCCTTGAAACAAAAAATCAAAACAAAAATCTAAATATATAACAATAAGAGAATAGTTATAAAAATATGGTATAGCCATATGGTATACATAGGCTAGGCTATCATGAGTCTATTTTAAATGGTTGCTTTAATTGAATGAGAAAATGTGATCATGATAAATGAAAAAAAAGAGCACCTACATGTTTATATCTTATCCTAGTTTTTTTATTAATACATATTCGATGTGCATATTTTCAGGGAACATGTGATAATTTGATACATTCATATAATCAAGTCAGGGTAATTGCGATATCTGTCACCTTTGTCTTATCTTTATATGAGGAACATTCAAATCATTCTTCTTCTCTAGCTATTTTTAAATGTCCAGTTAATTAATATTAAAACTATAGTCACCCTACTGTCTGTCAGACATCAGGTCTCATTTCTTATTATCCCAATTTTATGAAAAGTAAATGTATGGTAGTAATTTATATCAATAAGTAGGTAGGTAGATAGGCAGACAGATAAATATAAGAAAATTTGGTACTTTGGTGATTATGAGTGATTTTAATTTTCTTCTTTTGCTTATCTTTATTTTCCAAATTGCAAACAAGCATCACTAAGAATATTTTAATAAAAATATTTACCAGAAGTTGTTAAGAAAAGATAACAGAAGATATGAATATTAGGTTATCTTTGATCTCTAAAATGTTGGCCCACTGCTTGATCTACAGTACCTGTGTAGCCATCATCTTTGTCTCATTGTTTATGAGACATTATAAGAAACACTATTTTGTTAGTTTATATGCTGAGACCAATAACCAAGAGACCTTCTGACTAAACAACCATATGAAACATGAGAACATTTGCATGTTTATATGAGCTTTCTTTCTTTATGAGAATGTTACCGTGTAAGTTTCAAAATTATTATATGGATAGATACATATATCACTTGATGTCAAGAAGAAATTATTAGAATACTTTTTTTTTTTGAATCGAAGTATCACTCTGTCACCCAGTCTACAGAGCTCACCAAAGCCTCAACCTCCTGAGCTCAGGCAACCCTTCCACCTCTGCCTCCTGAGTACCTAGAACTATAGGCACATGCCATGTCTGGCTAACTTTTATTTTTTATTTTTTGTAGATACGAGGCCTTGCTATGTTGCCTAGGCTGATCTTGAACTCCTGGGCTCAAGCAATCCTCCTGCCTTGGCCTCCCAAAGTGTTGGGATTATAGTTGTGAGCCACTACACCTGGCTTAGAATATTTTTTTTAAGTTATAAACCCTTGAGAAAAAAAAAAAATATATATATATATATATATAACTGTCCATAGGACAGCCTAAATTTTTTATTGAAGATTAAAATAAAAATAGTTATCAAGACTATTTTGGTAGGAGATAGACAAAATGCTTCAGGAGTAATCTAGATTCAGTAAAATAAGACTTTTCCTTTGGTGACTATCTTTAGTGGCATATAATCTATCATCACAAACTCTTATCATCTGTACAGCAAACAAGAACACTGGCCTTGGCATCAGTTTGCCTGGGCTCAAATCCTGCTTCTACCACTGAATAACTGTGAAACTCTGGGTAGATAATGTATCCACTGTTTGCTGTATGTCCATCATCTGTAAAATGGAGTTTATTACAGTGTTTACCTATAATTAAGATAATTTAAGAAAAGAATTTTTCTTAACACCTGGCTTAGTAGGGGCTTGATAAATGCAAACTATTGTTTTTACTACTGTTATGTGTCCCCTATAAGGACTGTATCACGTCTCTCAAATTTTAGAGGGTTTTTTTTTGGTGGTGGGTAGATGTGGGAGTAAACTGGGTTATAAATCAATGGAACAGAATAGAGAATCCAGAGAGTACAACACATATATGATCAATTGCTTTTCAACAAGTTGCCAAGGCAATTGAATGGATAAATGATAATTCGTTCAGTAAATGGTTCTGAAACTATGGATATCTATGTGGGGGGGGGAAATAAACCTGTGCCTTACTTCAAGTCATATTCAAAAATTATCTCAAAATAGAATGTAGACCTAAGTTATGAAAACTAAAAAAAAAAATAAAACTTCTAGAAGAAAATATAGGAGAAAATCTTTGTGACTTTGAAATAGGCAAAGATTTCTTGGATAGAACACAAAAACATGAACCATAAAAGGAAAAAAAAAAGCTAAATTAGACTTCATCAAAATTAAGAATGACTGCCCTTTCAAAGACATTGGTAAGAAAATGAAAAGGCAAAACACAGACTGGAAGAAAATATTGGCAATATGCACATTTATCTGTCAAAGGACTTGTATCTAGAATATAAAAGAACTTTTACAACTCAATAATAATAGACAGACAACCTACTTTAAAAAAAATCAGCAAAAGATTTGAATAGACACTTTACACAGAAGATATATGAACCATACATACATGAAGAAATAAATATTCAACATCATTAGTCGTTAGGGAAATATAAATTAAAATCACAGAGACACAGTACTACATACTTATTAGAATGGTTAAATTAAAAATACTGATACTCTCATATATTGCTATTGAGAATGTAAAATGATACAACCACTTTGCTAAGCAGTTTGGAATTTCCTTAGAGTGTTTAACAAACACTAAAATGAAACTCAGCAATTCCACTCCCAGTTATATACACAAAGATAAATGAAAATATGTCACAAAAAAAATGTACACAAATGTTCATAGCACCTTTATTTATAGCACCTTTTATTTCCAAAACCTGGAAAGAATCCATATGTCCATTGATAGGTAAATGGAAAAACAACTCATGATATATTCACCATGGAATGCTACTCAGCAATAGAAGGAAGTAAACAACGTTATGCTGAGTTTAAAAATAAAAGCTAGAACAGAAAAGAATATGTATTATGTTTCCATTTATCTGAAATTCTAGGAAAAAAATGAATCAATAGTCATAGAAATTATATTAATAGTTAGCTAGGCTGGGCTTGGTGGCTCAGCCTGTAATCCCAGCACTTTGGGAGGCTGAGGCGAGTGGATTGCCTGGGCCTGCAGGTTCAAGACCAACCTGGGCAACTTGGCAAGACCTCGTCTCTACAATAAATAAAAATTAGACGGGCATGGTAGCACGTGCCTGTAGTTCTGACTACTTGGAAGTTTGAAGTGGAAGGATCGCTGGAGCCCAGCAGGTCGTCACTGAGCATGCGCCACTGCACTCCAGCCTGGGCCACAGAGTGAGATTCCAACTCAGAAAAAAAAAATAGTTGGCTAAAGTAGGGAATTATTGGCTGCAAAGAAGTCCGAGGGAACTGTTATAGCCATAGAAATATTCTATGTCTTGTTGATGGTAGTTAAATGGATGTATGCATTTTTCAAAACTCTTCAAACTCTTCACATAAAATAAGTACGTGTTATATGTACTTATTATATGTAAGTTATGTCTCAAAGTTGATTTTTTAAAATGTTCTTCCATAATCAGATTGAATTATAGTTCAAAAATAAATATAGTTTATTTTCTTAGAATGCTTGTTGTATAGATTTTAATAACTTTTCACATTAGAAAATAGATATATTTTCATTGTAGGAAATCCGAATTTGTTTATTTTAAGGTAAAAAATCTATTTTCCTTGCCATTAATTTGTCTTTTACAAATAAGGACTATAAATATGAAATTGAATGCATGGGCTGATTTGTGAATTTTTTTTGTATTACCTTGTGACTGGTAACCAAAGGTGCTGTGTGGACAGGCGACAACACAGCAGATTGGAGTTACCTGAAAATTTCTATCCCAATGTTACTCACTCTCAACATTACTGGGATCTCTTTTTGTGGAGGTAAGATGAGTTCTTTCCTGAGGCTTGATGTGCGAAAAAATAAAAAGTGAGGGTGTTTTCGTCAAAGCTGGTCACAAATACCTCCTCATTAGCTGTTCGGGGCAGAAATAAATGTGGGAAAGAAAAACTGTGAGAAAGTGAAAGGAAGCAGGTTAGAGAGAAGAGGGAAAGGGATGCCTCAGAGCTATCTGTGTCTCATCACATTGAGGACATGAAATCAAGTTGTCAGAAAGAGAGCCAGAGTGCTTCATCCTCTCATCCTCCTGTTACTTCCTCCCGAGGTGCTCTTGATAACTGAGTTTCTCCTCCTGACACGTATATTTTCTTCAAGTTGAGAAAAACAGAGAAAACTACAAAGAATCTAGCAAATCAGAAATCAACCTTACAGAAATTCTTTCTATTCAGCAAATTTAAATTGGGTGACAGATTTTAACTGTGTTAAAACAAAAAGATATGCTTTGGGGAAGGAAAGTTTAGTTAAAATAAGAGTCTTTGATGGACTGTCCTTCCTGCATCTTAATTCTCTGCAGATAAGAGATCTCAGTATGGAAGGTGCTCAGTTTGGCAGCTGTTGCTCCTTAATTTTGGTAGGAGCAGAAGCAAATAAAAATTGCTTTTTTGATACATGTGTTTATGGCATTGGAACATATACAATACAAAGAATATATATATCCTGTTTAGTGGCTCAGCATGAAATTCTGTCTAAATCTCTAATTTTGATTATCTCCTTCTCTTTAGTTATTTCTATTTTTCCCTTAGTTCCATTGTTGCTTTTAAAGGAAATCAGCTGTCAGGCGCAGTGGCTCACACCTGCAATCCCAGCACTTTGGGAGGCCGAGGCAAGAAGATTGTTTGAGCCCGGGGGTTTGAGACCAGCCTAGGCAACACAGCAAGACCTTGTCTCTACAAAAAAGAAAATAACAAAGCCGGGCTCGGTGGCTCAGCCTGTAATCCCTCGCCTTTGGGAGGCTGAGGTGAGTGGATTGCCTGAACCCACGGGTTCGAGACCTGCCTGGGCAGTAAGACCTCATCTCTACAATAAATCAAAAAAATCAGCCGGGCGTGGTAGCACTTGCCTGTAATTCTAGCTACTCGGAAGGCTGAGGCGGAAGGATCGCGGGAGCCCAGCAGGTAGAGGCAGCGGTGGCCGGGAGTGGCCACTGCACTCTGGGCGACAGAGTGAGACTCCAACTCAAAAAAAAAAAAAATTACCCAGGTGTACTGTTGTGCCTGGAGTCCTAGCTACTCAGGAGACTGAGGCAGAAGGATCATCGGGGCCCAGGAGGTCGAGTAAATCGTGATCATGCCACTGCACCCCCAGCCTGGGTGACAGTAACAGAGTAAGACCCTGAATAAAAAAAATAAAATAAAAAAAAAAAATGAAAGAAATCAGTTGCCAACACACACACTTAATCAGACAGACATTTTGCAATTTCTGGGTTATGTGGGCTCAAAAACATAGAAATGTCGCTCTTGAAATAAAGCCTCTGGCCTTTTGACAAGAAAAGAATATTTCAGGGATATATTCTCAGATCCCCAAACAAGCTGAGTAATATAGTATGTGCTCCTTTGTTTGAGGCCATGATTTTTGTTTTTGTTTTTTGAGTCAGAATCTCACTCTGTCACCCAGGCTGGAGTGTAGTGGCACACTAACAGCCACTGCCTCGACCTTCTGGGCTCAGTTGATACTTCTACCTCTGCTTTCCAAGTAGCTGGATCTACAGGTACATGCCACTATGCCCAGCTAATTTTTGATTTATTGTAGAGATGATCTCTGCGCCAAGTTGCCCAGGCTGGTCTTTAACCCCTGGGCTCAGGCAATCCTCTCGCCTCCATCTCCCAAAGTGCTGGGATTACAGGCATGAGCCACTGCCCCCAAAGAGGCCATGGTTTATCCTGTGATTTTGAGTACATACACTGCACCTTCCATCGGTCAGTCTTCAAGGCATTATTTTACCTGTGTGCATCATTGATTTGAAACCTGGTTGCCTCACTTGGCCTCTCTTTGCCTAACCAGCTGACGTAGGCGGGTTCATTGGGAATCCAGAGACAGAACTGCTAGTGCGTTGGTACCAGGCTGGAGCCTACCAGCCCTTCTTCCGTAGCCATGCCACCATGAACACCAAGCGGAGAGAACCCTGGCTATTCGGGGAGGGACACACCCGGCTCATCCGAGCAGCCATCAGAGAGCGCTACACCCTCCTGCCCTACTGGTACTCTCTGTTCTACCATGCACATGTGGCTTCCCAACCTGTTATGAGGTAAGAAAGCTTCATCCTTGTAGGGGCCCAGCAACCACTGTATAATCCCCTCAGGCACTAGAGAATGCAGCAATTACACAGTGATTATAAGAGAAAACGTGAAGATATGTGTTTAATCAAGTTTCCATCAGCTTATTGAACACCAGCTGTGAGCAGGGAGCTGGCTGCTGCAGATACAGAAGATAAAAAGCTCGATCCCTTGCTATTTTGTGACTAAAGTGTTCGTATTTGATAGGAGATAGAATAGAGATATTTCAAAAAGGAAGTGATTTTGTAATGGAATTCATTCAGTATTTAATCTATAAGCATCTTCTCCTAAAGAAAAATTTATTCTATTTGAAGGCAAAATCTGAAAAAGCAACTTTTTTTCTTTCTTTTTTTTTTTTTTTTGAGTTGGGATGTGAATAAAGTGGCATGATCATGGCTCACTACAGCCTTGACCTCCTGGGGTCATGCAATCCTTCTACCTCAGCCTCCTGAGTAACTGGAACTACAGGCATGTACCACCACATCCAGCTAATTTTTTATTTTTTGTAGAGACGAGGTCTCACTGTGTTGCAAAGTCTGGTCTCGAACTTCTGGGCTCAAGCAGTCCTCCTGCTTCGGCCTCCCAAAGTCCTGGGGTTATAGGAATGAGCCACCATGCCTGGTTTGAAAAACTAACTTTCTAGGTTAGAGAACAATACACACAGAATTCTGGATCAGCAATTCCTAAACTTGACTCGGATCAGAATCACCTGGAAGGCTTTTAAAAATACAGATTCCCCACCTCCAAACCTGGAATCTCTTTGGGTAGGTCCCAGGAATCTATCTTAGACGTTTCCCTGGTGATTCTAGCCATCAGCCAGGTTTAGGGACCACTGCTTTGTTACCATTCAGTAGGAAAGGAAGGTATTATTACAAAGACTAGTGGATAAACTAAAAATAAGTTTTTCTTTTTAAAAAATATCTTTTCATCATGAAATTTGGAAATAATTATAACCGTTAAGTTGATATCTGGATACATAGATATTGAAAGTTCTGTTGTTTTTATGATCCCAAATGCCTCCTAGATAGTTGTGCGCAACAATAACAATTAAAAAAAAAACAGCAATTTCTAGTTCTCCAGAATTGTTGCCAGCTTAAAAACAAGAAAATCCAGTTACTTCATTTAAGTCAATAATGATTAAATGATTCATGAAAGGCAGCAACAGCATGAAAAAAATGACACAGAATTATCATCATTATCCTGCGCCTTTGGGAGGCTGAGGTGAGTGAATTACCTGAGCCCGCGGGTTCGAGACCCACCCGGGCAATTTGGCGAGACCTCATCTCTACAACAAATCAAAAATGAACCCGGCTTGGTAGCACGGGCCTGTAGTTCCAGCTACCTGGAAGGCTGAGGCGGAAGGATCACCAGAGCCCAGCAGGTCAAGGCTGCAGTGACCGGGAGCAGCCACTGCACCCCAGTCTGGGCAACAGAGTGAGACTCCAACTCAAAAAAAAAAAGAATTATCATCATTGTAAAATATGGTTTTATAAACATTTGTTTTACACTAGAGGTGTTAGGCACTTGGACTTGCACCAAAGCTCTGGTTTTGCCTATTAGAACAGTATTTAGTGCTCAACAATGAGAAGGAAAAATCACATGTACTAGAATTCTCAGTATTTCATTCAAACATTTGAGTTAATAGAAAGCACCTTGATGTAAGAAAAATATAAAGTAATTATAGCAATTGTACATAAAATCTTGAATCGTATGAAAGAGTCTTGGCTCTTTGGAGCTTTCCAATTTCCTTTGAGTGGTTAAAAATTAGATATGCAGCCGGGCTCGGTGGCTCAGCCTGTAATCCCGCGCCTTTGGGAGGCTGAGGTGAGTGGATTGCCTGAGTCCGCAGGTTCGAGGCCCGCTTGGGCAACTTGGCGAGACCTCATCTCTACAATAAATCAAAAAATCAGCTGGGCGTGGTAGCACATGCCTGTAATTCTGGCTACTTGGGAGGCTGAGGCGGAAGGATCGCCGGAGCCCAGCAGATCGAGGCTGCAGTGGCCGGGAGCGGCCACTGCACTCCAGTCTGGGCAACCGAGTGAGACTCCAACTCAAAAAAAAAAAAAAAATTAGATATGCATACTTACCTGGCAGGGGAGATACAATGATCACAAAGGCAGTTTTCCCAGGGCGAGGCTTATCCATTGCACTCCAGATGTGCTCATCCCTGCAATTTCCCCAAATGTGGGAAACTTGAATGTATAAATTGTAGTAGTGGGTGACTGTGTCCATGCTCTTCCCTGGTTTTCCTAGGTTTAAAAAAAAAAAATTAAATATATAAGTGATTGAACTGCAGTAAGACATTAATGATGTTGAAATGAGAATTTGTTTTCTTTCCCCAGGCCCCTGTGGGTGGAGTTCCCTGATGAATTAGAGACCTTTGGTATAGAAGATGAATACATGCTGGGTAAGCATTTCTTGATTAATTATAGTTATGATAAACACTAATTGTGTTTTATTATGTCTTCTAGTGTAAGAGCACTAAGAAAATCCCTAATCCTAAGAAAGCCAAAAAACAAAAATAAAAAAATTCCTTCACCAAGATTTCTAATGCCTTAGTGGGATCATAACTCTATTCTATTGTGCTGTGGCATTTCTCACGGTACTATTCCTATTAAATTCTATTTGTGGGTGTCATTTGGGATTCTTGTTCTGGATCCACTCCCATAAGCCTTGTGAGACCACTACAAGGAAAGGAAGTAGGAAACGGCTATAATAAAGAGCCAGAAGAGCTTATTTCATATGCAATTAAAGGGTTTTTCTTTGGTTGACTTCTTCAACAAGGATTACCTATTAAATTTAGAACATGGAAGTTTATCATCTTAGGAACAGGACTCAAGAAACTAGGCTAAACAGACTTGCTCAAAGGATGACTCCCATCTGTAAACAGTGGAAACCTCTACATGTAAAAAACAAACAAACGAAAAAACTGAGCTACTTCATTGATAGGTCTCAGGTTAATGCTCACTGCCTTGGAGAAATTTCTTTAACCACTCCTTGTTTCCTTATGCCTAATTCTACCTGCTGTCCCACTCAGTCCTCCTGTTAAGTCAATCTCTCCTATTCCATAATTTTCATTCCATTTTGTAATTTTGCCTCTTTTGGTACTTGTCTTAACTCTAATTAGTTTGTAGCTACTTTTTAATATTCAGCTTCACGAATGTAAAATCCATGAGAGCAGGGATCATGCTTATTTTATTGGCCACTAAATTTCTCCACAGCCTAGTATGGTACCTGACACTCAGTAGGCATTCAATAAATAAATAAATAAATATTCAATAAAAGAGTCAATTCATAAATTGATAGATTTTATATATGTTGTGCCAAGATCAATACAAAATTCTTAATTCAGATTGCTTTTAAGAAAATGACAACTTTCCTGATGATAACTGCCCAAGCAAAAGGACTGGAGTATCCACGCTGACCACACTTCTGGATGACAATTGTGGGCTCACCATCATCAGCATAACTCACAACAAACAATGAAGCACTTGGAGAGATGCAATTGTGCTTTCAGACTACTAGCACTCTAGCAGTTATGCACAAAATGAGACAGATGGACTGTGTCAAGATCCTTTCCTATAATCTCTATATACCATAAGTGCATGAATGATGGGTGATTAACTTTTTGAACATCTGTCCTCTTTCTAACAGTGTATCTCTCTGACAATTCATTGGTTCAAGTCATCACAGTTTCTTCCTTTGCTAAGTTCACAATGGAGTGATCTTCAAAACCATGATAGCTAGTGCTCAAAGGGAAAGTGTTTTCAGACCTCTTATAAAGATACTCAACTTTATTTTTTCTCACTTTTTAGGAAGTGCTTTATTGGTTCATCCAGTCACAGAACCAAAAGCCACCGTGGTTGATGTGTTTCTGCCAGGATCAAATGAGGTAAGAATAGAAATAGCCACATATCTGATGTGTCTCATCACTCTCATCCCTTTTCTTTTAGAAAATAGATTCCTTCATTATGCATTTATGAACACAGCCCAAATGACTGAAACTGTAGTAACTGATGGTTCTTGTAAGTCAGGACCACTGTCTTCAGAGGTCAAGAAACTTAATGGAAGATACTGGGGAGGAAGATGACTCCAAGGAAGATCAGAATGATGTTTTACCTTCACACTTTTATTTGCATTAGTGACTCATTAACACACTGAGGCACACTGTACTACAAGATATCAAACTCTCGGGGAGACAAGTATGAAGAGACTTCGGTTCTGAATCCTGAGTTGTGGGTACCAAAAGCTGATCTCAAGACACCAAAGTGGGTAAAAAGTAACAACTCTATGCCCCTGTAGCTTCCTCTGCTCTCTCATTAGTTATTGTCATTAATAACTGTCACTGTATAAAATATCAGCCTGCTGAAACCCAGGGCACTGAACCCAGGCAAGGCATAAGGCCGAGCAGAGAGCCATGAGTAATAAGAGCATCAACTTACAGAGACAGAACACAGATGTATCCAGTGAGGCCAGGAGAAGAGCTGAGCAGAAACTTAGGGCTCCAGACAAGAGAGGAGAGCATGGAGTGGAGAGCAGGAAAAAGGCAGACCCCAGAGAGTCCTTAAGCACTGCAGCATTGCCACAGGCTTCAGCAGGCTGTGAAAGCCATGGCAGTACTGAGCTCATGTGGAACCGCCATGGCAGACAGGTGAGTGGCAAATCGCTGAGGCAGATCTCACTAGCTCCTCAGTACTGTCAGGTACTTGGATGGCAGCCCCATGAAGCCATGTCCAGCACCGTGGTCTCCCTCAACCAACTTCACATGTTTGGTTTTTCTGTTAGTTCTCTGAGACTACTGTACCAAATCACCACAGACTCGGTGGCTTCAAACAACAAAACTTTATTCTCTTACGGTTCTGGAGGCTTGAAGCCCAAGATCAAGTTGTCAGCAGGGTTGGTTCCTTCTCAGAGCTTGAGGGGAGAATCTGTCCGATGCTCTTTCCTGGCTTCTGATGGCTGCCGGCTATCCTTGCATTCCTTGGTTTGTAGCTACATCACTCCAGTCATGCCCCCATCTTCACATAACCTTCTCTTTTGTGTGTCTCTGTCTCCTCTTCTGTCTTTTGCTATAAAGATACTTGTGGTGGCATTTAAGGCCCACCTGGATAATCCAGAATAATCTTCTTGTCTCAAGACGCTTAGCTTAAATCTGTGACCATAGAAGGTAATATTCACTCCTTCCAGGAAGTAGGATTTGAATACATAATGTGTGTGTGTGTGTGTGTGTGTGTGTGTGTGTGTGTGTGTGTGTGTGTGTGTGTTTAGAAGCAAGATCTCATTTTGTTGCCCAGTCTACACTGCCATCATACCTCACTGTAGCCTAGAACTCCTGAACTCAAGCAATCCTCCTGTCTCAGCCTCCTGAGTAGCTGGGACTACAGACAGATACCACCATACCCAGCTATTTTTTTTCTTTGTAGAGTTGGGGGTCTTGCTGTGTTTCCCAAGCTGGTCTCCAGTCCTCAAGCGATCTTTTCACCTCAGCTTTACAAAGTGCTGGGATTATAAGCATGAACCACCATGCCTGACCTGGAAATGAATGTATCTTTTGAGTAGCCACCATTCTTCCCGCTATGCTTGTCATTATTGGTAGGATCAGGCTTTTATCCAGAATGTTCATGAACTATGGTCTGTCTTCTTGATTTTTGGAGTTCTGAAGAGTTGAGGACTCTTTACTAAGGTCCCCCTGCCAAGTAGGAACCTGAGAAAAAGGTTAAAAACAACAGCTAGGCCAGGCTCGGTGGCTCAGCCTGTAATCCCAGCACTTTGGGAGGCCGAGGCTAGTGGATTGCCTGAGCCCGCGGGTTCGAGACCCACCTGGGCAAGTTGGCAAGAACTCGTCTCTACAATAAACCAAAAATTAGCCGGGTATGGTAGCGTGTGCCTGTAGTTCTGGCTACTTGGAAGGCTGAAGCGGAAGGATCGCAGGAGCCCAGTGGGTCAAGGCTGCGGTGACCGGGAGCATACCACTGCACTCCAGTCTGGGCGACAGAGTGAGACTTCAACTCAAAAAAAAACAGCTAAATAAATGGTCCTGCCAAACATTTCTGCTGATAGTGTCTCAGATTGATTCCAACAAAGCAGTAGGCTCCCATTACAAGGAACTAGCTCCCTTCCAACTTAGCCACAGATTTTTACTCCTGATTTATCATCATTACAAGCACATTGTTGTGACTGTCTATTGTATTCTTTCAGCATTATTTCCCAACGTGTTCTTTGAGTGTTTCTCTCTGACCGCATCTTCACTTGCTATATAAAAAATGTGACAATCCCAGCAGGTGAACTTGCAAAATAGACTCTGTGGCTGCCAGAAAGTGTACTGGGCTAGAAGAGAGAAAAAGAGGTGCTTGTTTTTATGCTGCTTCTGATAGTATCTTAAGGTTTAGCCCATCAAAGTACTTTGCAGGACCTTTTAGGTACTTCAGCAACTAAACCCCCTCAATAGGGATCCCAGATAAAAATTGTATTCCTGAATTGAGCTTTGCTTAAAAAAAAAAGAACACTATAGTCATAGTCCAAGTTTCCATTTGTTTTCCTCCCAGATCTCTGATACCTTCCTTTTCTCCTGACTCTTTTGTAATTTATTTACCTGCAGTGTGCTTCTCTTCTTTTTTTTTCCTCTTTTCCATCATCTCTTTTACTACTAGAACCGTTAAGTTTTTAGAAGCCAAGTAGACTGTAAGATCCATAAGGACAAGAACTGTGTGTTTTCTGTCCACTCACATATATCCAGCATCTCGCACAGTGCTGGGCACATAGTAGGTTGTTCAGTAACTTTTGGATGGATAGATAGACAAATGGCCTTGTTGGTAAATGAATCAGCCACCAACCTTTGAGATCTTTTTTTTTTGAGTAGGAGGCTCACTCTGTCACCCAGCCTGGAGTACAATGGCATGCACACAGCCACTGCAGTCTCGACCAACCTGCTGGTCTTAGGTGATCCTTCCACCTCAGCCTTCCAAGTAGCTGGAACTATAGGTGTGTGCCATCACTCCTGGCTAATTTATTTATTTATTTATTTATTGTAGAGACGCGGTCTCGTCATATTACCCAGCCTGGTCTCAAACCCGTGGGCTCAGGCCATCCTCTCACCTCGGCCTCCCAAAGTGCTGGGATTACAGGCAGGAGCCATCACCCCTGGTGAGATCTTCTTAAAAGCATACGTTCAGCCAGGCATGGTGGCTCATGCCTGCAATCCCAGCACTTTGGGAGGCAGAGGTGAGAAGATTGCCTGAGCTCAGGTGTTCAAGACCAGCCTGGGCAATTTGGCAAGACCTCATCTCTACAATAAATCAAAAAATTAGCCAGGCGTGGTGGCACATACCTGGAGTTCCAGCTACTTGGAAGGCTGAGGCAGAAGGATCACCTAAGTCCAGCAAGTCAAGGCCACAGGGGCCGTGAGCATGCAGTGGCCATGAGCAGGCACATGCACTCCAGCCTGGGTGACAAACTGAGACTTATACTAAAAAAGAAAAAAGCATGTATTTCCCCCTAACTCCTACCCAATGTATATATTTTTTAAGTTATGCTTACTTTAGCTTTCTGATTATTTGAAATTCAGAGAAGCAGATATTTTACCAAATAATGAAACTGGGAACAGAATTGCTCATATACTCTTTTTCACTAAGATTCATTGCTTTTTAGGTCTGGTATGACTCTAAGACATTTGCTCATTGGGAAGGAGGATGTACTGTGAAGATCCCAGTAACCCTGGACACTGTAAGTTATTTTCAGATGATTATTTCTACCTACTGGGCTTGGGCTACCATAAGAAAATACCACAGTCTGGGTGACTTAAACAACAGAAATTTATTTTCTCACAGTTCTAAAGGCTAGAAGTTCCAGAAGAAAGTGCCAGCCAATTCAGTTCCTGAGCAGGCTGTCTCATGTTTCTTCTTACAAGGACACTATTCCTGTTGTATCAGGTTCTCACTCTTACGACCTAATTTTTAACCTTAATTAACTCCACATAGGTCCTATCTCCAAATATAGTCACATTTGGGGCTGGGGATTCAACATATGAATTTGTGGGGGATGATATTCAGTTCATAATGTTCCCATGTAGAAAGAACTAAGGATGTTCGTGTTCTGCGTAGTAACACATACATATAGAGACAGCAAGGAGATTAGTGGTTACCTAGGGCTGGAGCAGGGGGAGGGATTAGGGAGTAGTGGGGAGTGACTGGTAATGGGTACAAAGTTTCTTTTACGGGTGACTGAAAATGTTTTAAAATTGATTGTGGCGATTGTTGTATGACTCTGAGAACTGCTTAATTACACACTTTAGGCTGGTAAATTGTACTGCATGTGAATTATATCAATAAAGCTGTTCAAAGGTGAGGGGGGGATAAAGAGCTTAAAAATACATATACTCTGACCTCACGGCATGAAACATTGGGGACAAGCACAACTCATTCCCGTATGTTTACATTTATGTGTCTAAGAAGAACAATAGCAATGAAAATGGAGAAAACGTGGCAACCACCATGTGTGTCATACAGAATGTTCTTCTACAGAACTAAGTCAAAAAACTTGAATTTTCATTTGTAACCTTGGGCCTCTAGGCCCAAGAGAATATATCAGTTATGATGTTAGAATCAACGTGGCCCAACCAGTCAATTTTTTTTTTTTGAGTTAGAGTCTCGCTCTGTTGCCCAGGCTGGAGCGCAGCAGCACACTGACGACCATCTCAGTGCTGATCTGCTGGGCTCTGGTGATCCTTCTGCCTCAGCCTTCCAAGTAGCTGGAACTACAGGCCCACACTACCGTGTCTGGCTCATTTTTTTTTATTGATTGTAGAGATGAGGTCTCGCCAAGTTGCCCAGGCTGATCTCAAACCCCTCACCTCGGCCTCCCAAAATACTAGGATTACAGCAAACAGTCTTGAGTTTCTTTCTTTTTTTTTTTTTTATTTTTTTTATTTTTTACTTATTTATTTATTTATTTAGAGTTAGGGTCTCACTCTGTCATCCAGGCTGCAGTGCAATGGCATGATCATGGTTCACCACAGTCTCAACCTCCTGGGCTAAGGTGATCCTTCCACCTCAGTCTCCTGAGTACCTGAGTACCTAGGACTACAGGTACATCGCCATACCCAGCTAATTTTTTTTATTTTTCATGGAGACAAGGTCTTGCTATGTTGCCTAGGCTGGTCCTGAACTCCTGGGCTCAAGCAATCCTCCTGCATTGGCCTTGTAAAATGCTAGGATTACAGGGGTTAGCCTCTGTGCCCAGCCCTGCCTTAAGTTTCTAAAGGGTAGTTTCTTCCTGCAGCTGAATCACAACCAGTACCACAGACCCTAAGTAGAGTGAAGATTAATAAATAGATACTGGCCAGGTTCAGTGACTTAGCCTGTAATCCCAGCACTTTGGGAGGCCGAGGCAAGTGGATTGCCTGAGTATGCGGGTTTGAGACCAGCATGGGCAACTTGGCAAGACCTCGTCTCTATGATAAATAAAAAATTAGCCAGGTATGGTAGTGTACACATGTAGTTCCAGCTGCTTGGAAGGCTGAGATGGAAGGATCGCTGGAGCCCGGCAGGTGGATGCTGGGGTGGCCATGAGTGTGCCACTGCACTCCAGCCTGGGTGACAGGGTGAGAACTCCAACATGATAGAGAGAGAGAGAGAGAGAGAGAGAGAGAGATACTGATTTTTTGAAACCTTCAGCAGCAATATAAACCCTATTATTAAAAAATGATTTCAGATATCAATGTTTAGATCTAGAAGAAACCTTAACAATCATCCACTCTAATCTTTCACACTTACAGGTGAAGAAACTGAGGTTTAGAGAAGATAAATTGCTTGTCTAGGGTCACAGCTAGATTGTGGGAGAACTGAGACAAGCCCCCAGGTATATTCCCTTGTGCTGGGCTCACACTGTAGAATTCATTTCACTCTTACCACTTTGTCCTTTGGGGGGAAAAAAACGAAGAGGGAAATTTTGGCCAGTAAGAGAGGGGGAAGAGGGATATATACTTTACATCTTGCTGCCGCCCTCAAGTTAAACAGAGGGGATGTCGTAACTACTCCACCCTGCCACTCAGCTTCGCATGTGTTCTTGGCTCTTCTCCTTGCTAGCACTTCACTCAGAGCAAAGCACAAGCCCTCATGTGACACAGGTGGCTTCTTTAGAGGAGACAGGAAAGCTACCAGGCTTTCCCTACCTGGAGTGCCTTCTGGAAGACCCATAGGTATGGGCCATGCCTACAACCCTGGTGTTAGAGTCACTTAAAGTACCCTCATCAGGCTCTATAACAGAAACCATTTCACAGATTTCCCCCTCGGAATTGAGTGAGTAATCCTGGTGAACCATAGAAACAAGGAGCACAAAGGGGGTAGGCTGCAGTGAGTAAGGACAAAAGTCATCTCCCCACAGACATCCGGGCCCACGTACACAGACAGAAAAATTAACTCTTTGGCAGGGCTCTAGAAGTAAACATGCTTAATATATTGATAGGAAAATTAAAAATACAAAATAGGAAAGGCCACTTAGAAGATAGGAAGAATAGAATTCATTGCTTAGAAGAAAAATGATAAAACATATAGATAATCAACAAAGGGTGGGAAGTTTCCCTAATAATTAAAAATTGACCATTTTTTAGTATTTAAGCTCTTTTTCCTTTAATATCAGGACTGTCATATTTGCCATCTCTGTGCCCACAAAGTGATTTTGCCCTTGAGGCTGTCTTGTAAAGAGTGTGAATCTTATACAATGAAATATTTTTAAGTTCTACCTTGAAATTTTCTTACATGAATACTATTTGCCTAAATATGTTGCTGTCTTATAGATACCAGTGTTTCAACGAGGTGGAAGCGTGGTACCATTAAAGACAACTATAGGAAAATCAACAGGCTGGATGACCGATAGCCATTATGGACTCCGGGTTGCTCTGAGCACCAAGGTATTTGGAAAATCTGCTACCCTTTTCATTTCTTCTACTCCATCCCTTTACAGTGGTAGCCTTTTAAGTGTGTAACAGCCATGTAAAAGTGGTGAGCCCCATCTATGTGATAGATGCTTCTGAGGTTTATCTAGAAAGCAAGGTTGAATCATTGTCCAACTTGCCTGCCTTTCCTGGAATTGTTCTTAAAGGAATCTTAAGGGAACTTGAGGACATAGAAATACCCTTCTTGGGCACTGTGACTATTGATGCTCTTCAGTTTGACATTGATTTTGGTCTCACACTATCATCCAAGCTGAAGTGCAGTGGCACAATCTTGGCTTACTTCAGCCTTGACCTCCTGGGCTCCAGCAATCCTCCCACCTCCACCTCCTGAGTAGCTGGGACTACAGGTAAGCACCACCATACCTGGCTATTTTTTTATTCTTATTTTTATAGAAATAGGTTCTCACTATGTTGCTCAGGCTGATTTTGAACTCCTGGCCTCAGGTGATCCTCCTGACTCAGCCTCCCAAAGTGCTAGGATCACAGGTGTGAGCCACCACACCCAGCCCAACTTGACATTGATTACTACTGAAAACTCTCTGGGCCATAGGTAGTCTGCCCATATGGATTTGCCCTGAAACTTAGCCTCCTGTAAAATGGTACCTGTGTCTATGTACCATTTCAGGGACCCAAATACCACCCAATGCCTTCAATTCTCATCAGGTAACTCAAACAACTAAATTCTCCTTGGGTAAAGCCTGGAGGATCCAGAACCGATCTGCCCTTTTAAGATCTTCTGAACCTAGTGTGTCCTGTAGAGGACTCTCTCCTGTTCATTTGCTCAAATGTAGTACAGGGCCAAACACAGATTCTTGCTCTTATTATATTAATACTTTCATTTATATTGACATTATAAAATAATTATTAATAAGTAAGTTACAGCTTTTTTTCTCTTTTGTTTCACTTAGACATGTCTTCTGGGCCAAACTATGGGCTCTGGACCCATGTGAGGCCTCCGAATAAATGTAGGAGACAAGAAATGCATAGCACATCAAGCACTGTCACTAACAATAAACTGTCATGGAGTGCTGTGGCATTGTCTGACATGTAAAAGGGGTCTTTCTACTAAAAAAAAAAAATAGGAACAGGATTCTCTAAATGAAGGGTCTTCTTCTTTTTTTTTTAAAGCAGGATTTATTGAGAGGGAGTTTGTTGCCCAAAAATGGAGGATCTTCTAAAGATGGTTTATCTCATCCATTATAAACCGGTTGGGTTTTTGTTTGTTTTAACTTCAGTTTAATTCTGTGAACTCCCTTGGCTTTGCTGTCACATTGTGGTATCACACCTTCAGGGAAGCTAGTTATACCACTGACCATATATCATAGTTTAACTTTTCTTTCAACGAGGCCTAATTTTTTGTGCTCCTTTTATGTGACATTATCATCATCATCATCATCATCGTCATCACATGCTCACAACCACCACAGCCTCAACCTGCTGGGCTCAGGTGATCCTTCCACCTCAGCCTTCTAAGTAATTGGAACGACAGGTGTGTGCCACCTCGCCCAGCTAATTTTTTGACTTATGATAGAGACAGGGTCTCACCATGTTGCCCAGGCTAGTCTCAAACCTGTGGGCTCAGGCAGTCCTCTTGCCTGCGCCTCCCAAAGTGCTGCGGTTACAGGCATGAGCCACCCACACCCAGCCCCATTCATATTATTTTACTATCTATTCAGGAGTGATTGGGTATTGAATATATTAGGTATTTGTGCAACTTGAATGTTAAGTTTTTATTAAACAGTTTTTCACAAATTTTTTATCCTATTGTTATCCTTAGGGGCTGACATTCTTTTCCTATAAAGCTGTTGCATAAGCATATTCTTTCTCTCTGGCTCACTCTCCAGGGTTCTGCAGTGGGTGAGTTATATCTCGATGATGGCCATTCATTCCAGTACCTCCACCAGAAGCAATTCTTGCACAGGAAATTTTCATTCTGTTCCAGTGTTTTGATCAACAAGTAAGGGCAGCTAAAGAAATTGTGTGCCTTCTTTAATAAATCATTCTGTCCTTTCAGACTCCTCAAATGCACAGCTGTTGTTTTAAGTCACTGTTTAAGAAATGACTGGTGAAGGCCATTTCTGGAGTATTTTTCAGTCACTCTACCATGAACATCCCTTCCTTATTCCTTTCTCCCCATTTCTAAAAAATAATAAAGGATTCAACTTAAGCTTCTGTTAATTTCATTCATTCTTCAATTCACCAATTTGTTAAGTATCTGATTTCTTACAATTTAATTACAATATCGAAGTCACATTTGTGACTTTTGTGCCTTTCGGTGATTTCTTTCCAAGTGACTTGTTAAAACCTACCGATTAGCTAAGCTATTCCTCGGCACATAGAGTCAACATTTATTATCTCTTCATCCTGTAAATATGACTCCTATATGGATCATGCTTTCTTGGGGACAGATGAGAGGGGAACTCACAAGACTGAAGATGTTGACCTGGTGACCAGTTCAAACACCCATCCTAATCCTTCTCCTCATACTCTTTGCATCTATTTCAGTTCTGCAGACCAGAGGGGCCATTATCCCAGCAAGTGTGTGGTGGAGCAGATCTTGGTCTTGGGCCTCAGGAAGGAGCCGTCTTCTGTGACCACCCATTCATCTGGTGAGGAAATAGTCCTTGCTTATCTCTCACCATTTGTTTTACAGACATGGAAGTATCTGCAGTGAGATGATTAGTCCCAATACTGACATAATACATCTAGCCCGAGTGGACTCCATGCTTCCAGATAGAGGTCAAATATACTGGTCTCCAGAGTGAACAAGGCCATTCTGCTACTCTTCATGAATTGGTCTTGCTCACTTTTAATATTTTTCTCATGGAAATTATTTGGGGCCTGAAATAACATCGCGGCTTCTCTGAATATTTTGTAAACTATAGATATGGAAGTCCTGGAGAATCCTACCCATGCTGATGGAGCCTATAAAGGGCATAGGATGGGACTTACATCCTTCTGTGCCTACTGTAGTTCTTGGGCAAATACCCTTGTTCCTTCCAGTTCATTTTCAACCAGTCTTGCACTCAAAACATTGAAGTGTTTCATGTTTTTAAAAATGTGTGGAAGCCGGGCTCGGTGGCTCAGCCTGCAATCCCGTGCTTTGGGAGGCTGAGATGAATGGATTGCCTGAGCTCGTGGATTCGCGACCCACCTGGGCAACTTGGCGAGACCTCCTCTCTACAATAAATCAAAAATGAGCCAGGCATGGTAGCGCGCGCCTGTAGTTCCAGCTACTTGGAAGGCTGAAGTGGAAGGATCACCGGAGCCCAGCAGGTCGAGCCTGCAGTGGCCAGGAGTGGCTACTACACTCCAGTCTGGGCGACAGAGTGAGATTCCAACTCAAAAAATAAAAAAATAAAAAATAATAAAAATGTGTGGAAGTGCATGGTTGAAAGTCCTATTAATTAGGATTCTCCTAAGTGGGAGCTATAAGATTTTATGATAAAGTCAGAAAACACTTCAGGTTCAAAGAAAAGGTTTTTCCCTCCTAGATATTCATCAAACTTTCCCTCATTTATTGTCTTTCTATTTAGATGGTAAAGATCAACCTGTGACTTTTGCATATTGTGCCAAAACCTCCACCCTGCGCCTGGAGAAGCTCTCACTGAACATTGGCGCTGACTGGGAGGTCCACATCAAATGACAAAGAAGTGCTCCTGGTGATGCAAGCAGGAAGCTGCCTGCACCTTTCAACTTTTCCCTTGGTCTTTTCTGAGATTTGTGCTGCTCGCCGGGCATAGTGGCTCATGCCTGTAGTCCTTGCACTTTGGGAGGCCAAAGTAAGCAGATCACCTGAGGCCTGGCATTCAAGACCAGCCTGTGCAACATAGCAAGATCTCCATCTCAATTTTTTTTTTTTAAAGAGAGATTTGTAGCTGGGCGCGGTGGCTCAGCCTGTAATCCCGCGCCTTTGGGAGGCTGAGGTGAGTGGATTGCCTGAACCCGCGGGTTCGAGACCCGCCTGGGCAGTGAGACCTCATCTCTACAATAAATCTAAAAATCAGCCGGGTGTGGTAGCGCATGCCTGTAATTCTGGCTACTCGGAAGGCTGAGGCGGAAGGATCGCCGGAGCCCAGCAGGTCGAGGCTGCGGTGGCCGGGAGTGGCTACTGCACTCCAGTCTGGGTGACAGAGTGAGACTCCAACTCAAAAAAAAAAAAAAAGAGAGATTTGTTCTGCTATCTAATTGACTTCCCTGGCTCAAAATAATCTTTCGTTAGTTGCCAGCATACTAATGAACAGTAGATTTGGTATTTTGAGATTTCAGCTTTTACATTTTAAGATAGACTAGTGATATACTTTGTGTCAAACACCACTTCTTCTCCCAGCCCCACATAGCTCTGAGACAGTTAGACAGGGTTCATGAGTCTTTCATTGCCTCTTGGGCCATGGCCCTGCAGTAAACACATGACCCAGGGAGCAGCCTCTCCTTGAGTAGGGCGGCATGGGTTTGTTTAAATATGGGCAAGCCTACCTGTGTAGCCCATTTGCTGGGGCTTACCTCAGGCCATGCGGCAAAGTCACTCTGGCTGCAGCAGCTAAGTTGTTCAAGGCCAGTCTCTGAGAGGACAATAGCCTCGGGTACCCCCACAGTTACCTTTCACCCACATGAACTGGGCAAAACAACCCTCTTCTGCATGTACTGTGTAAGCTACCACAATGGGGAGTTATCCTCTCTGAGAGATTGACCCAGCACAAAGGATTCTTTTCCCTTTCATGAATCTCAGACTCAAGGGTCCCAAATTGATCTTTGAAAAATTCACATATCTTGTAATTTTTTTAAATTAAATGTTGTCTACTAACCAAAGAATATTCATTACATGAGTAAGCTATAGTTGATAATAATGAAACAAATACCCATGTCCTTACCACTGAACTTCAGAACTAGAACTCAGAGCTGGGACTAGGATGAGGTAAGTAGACATTTGCTGGAGTTGCCTCCAGCATAAAATGTAAGGGAGTGCCAAGTAATGTAGTTATCAAAATAAGTAAGATTTTAATGCCCTATTTTTAAAATAAAAATTAATTCAGGAAAAAACCCATGATGAACAGAATATCAGATTTTCCAATAAAGGCAAGATCAGTATTACTGAGTTTTCCTTTTGCCTCAAGCTCTAATATGGCTGGGCCTGGGGTGGAACATGGCAGCATAACAAGTTGTATCATGATGCTCCTGGCTCTGGAAACCCCACTGACTCCCTACTGCCTGCCACAACATCTGATGGGGCAGTCTCAACTCCTCAGCACTCCTGAGCATGCACATTTTATTGTCGGGCATCCTCCAAGCAGTGTGTCAACTGCTACCCCTGTCCCTTCTTCCCCCTCCGCCCTCCCTCCCTCCATCTATGCACATCTTTCTATCCTTCCAGACCCAAAGCCGTGAAGTCTTTCTAACTACCCTGGATCCCTACTCCCCCATACCCATTAGCAGTGATTTTGCCCTTCTCGCCCTTCTCTGAAATGCTGCCTTACTTATAACTGAGCTTTACTTAGCATTCTCAGGAATCACACCTTAATGTTTCAAAGATGTCTCTGTTCCCCTACTAGATTGTATGCTCTCTAGAAGCATGTTATATTTCTCTTCTATCCAACAGAGCAATGTTACACTTGACTTTCAGTAACTTTTGACTGTGATTAGTTAACTGGTGAATTTAATTGATTAAAAAGTGAGAATTGAATGTATTTATTTGATTTACTTTTCTGACACAGGACTCCTCGAATGTGGTAAACATTGTACATTTCCTGTGGGCACATTTCATTATATCAGTTGAGATACAGATTCTTTGCTCCTATTTCTATAACTTTTGCAATTGAGGAAAAAGAAAGAACCCTACATTTGCTGAAGTCATAGGTCCCAGCTTCAAATTTCACTGCCAACCTAAAATAAAACTTACCCAGAAATCTGGGTGCTCTTCCCTAATAAACATGAATAAACTGAATTAGTGAGAACTCTCTATCAACATTGATCATATGTCTATTCTTCCATTTAAAATATTTTCGGGCTAGCCAGATGCAGTGGCTCATGCCTGTAATTAATCCAAGCACTTTGGGAGACGGAGGCGAGAGCGTTTGAGACCAGCCTGGGCAACTTGGCGAGACCTCAGCTCTACAATAAATCAAAAAATTAGCCGGGCATGGTAGCACACGCCTGTAGTTCCAAGTACTTGGAAGGTTGAGGTGGAAGGATCACCTGAGGCCAGCAGGTCGAGGCTGCGGTGGCCGTGAGCATGCCACTGCACTCCAGCCTGGGCGACAGAGTGAGACTCTGACGCTAAAATAAAGTAAAATAAAATAAAATAAATATTTTTGGACCAGGCACAGTGGCTCATGCCTATAACCCCAGCACTTTGGGAGGCAAAAGGGTTGACTGAGCCTAGGAGTTTGAGACCAGCCTGGGTAACATGGCAAGACCTCATCTCTACAGTAAATTAAAAAAATTGGAGCCGGGCTCGGTGGCTCAGCCTGTAATCCCACGCCTTTGGGAGGCTGAGGTGAGTGGATTGTCTGAGCCCGCGGGTTCGAGACCCGCCTAGGCAGCGAGACCTCATCTCTACAATAAATCAAAAAAAATCAGCCGGGCGTGGTAGCGCATGCCTGTAATTCCAGCTACTCGGAAGGCTGAGGTGGAAGGATCGCCAGAGCCCAGCAGGTCGAGGCTGCGGTGGCCGGGAGTGGCCACTGCACTCCAGTCTGGGTGACAGAGTGAGACTCCAACTCAAAAAAAAAAAAAAATTGGCTGAGTGGTGATACGTGCCTATAGTCCCAGCTACTCAGGAGGCTGAAATGGAAGGATTGCCTGAGCCCACAGGTTGAGGCGGTAGCCATGATTGTGCCACGGCACTCCAGCCTGGGTGACAGAGTGAGACCTCAAAGCAAAAAGAACAAAAAAAGTTAGGGGGGTTAGGCATGGTAGCTCACACCTATAATCCTAGCACTTTGGGGGGCCAAGGCAGGAGGATTCTTGAGCCCAGGAGTTCAAGACCAGCCTGGACAACATAACAAGACCTCATCGCTACAAAAAATTTAAAAATTAGCTGGACTTGGTAACATGTGCCTATAGTCCCAACTACTCAGAAGGACTCCCTGAGCCTAGGAATTCAAGGCTGTGGTGAACTATGAGTGTACCACTGCATTCCAGCCTGAGTGACAGAGACTTCAACTCAAAAAATAATAAAATATTTTTGGAGAAATGAAACAAGAACTAGTAGTGAAGAACATACTCTGTTTTAACCCAAACCTACACTGAAAGATTTGACTAGAGAGAAGTGGAGAGACAGAGTCGGAGCTTTTTTTTCTTTTTTTTTTTTTTTTTGAGTTGGAGTCTCACTCTGTCGCCCAGACAGGAGTGCAGTGGCCACTCCCGGCCACCACAGCCTCGACCTGCTGGGCTCTGGCGATCCTTCCGCCTCGGCCTTCCGAGTAGCCGGAATTACAGGCGCGCTACCATGCCCGGCTGATTTTTTGATTTATTGCAGAGATGAGGTCTCGCTGCCCAGGCGGGTCTCGAACCTGCGGGTTCAAACAATCCACTCACCTCAGCCTCCCAAAGGCGCGGGATTACAGGCTGAGCCACTGAGCCCGGCTAGAGTCTGAGCATTTTAAACAATTCTCTGCTCTTAATGCTTCTCACACTTTTCCCACCTCCTATTTCTGAAGCCATATCGCAGAGAACTATGCTGAGCCTTGTCAGCACAGTTACTGACAAGTATTGAGTTAACAAAGTATTTAGTTAGCCGGGCTCGGTGGCTCAGCCTGTAATCCCGTGCCTTTGGGAGGCCAAGGTGAGTGAATTGCCTTAGCCCGCGGGTTCAAGACCTGCCTGGGCAACTTGGCAAGACCTCATCTCTACAATCAATCAAAAAACTAGCCAGGCATGGTAGCGTGTGCCTGTGGTTCCAGCTACTTGGAAGGCTGAGGCAGAAGGATTGCCTGAGCCCAGCAGGTCAAGGCTGTGGTGGCTGTGAGCATGCCATTGCACTCCAGCCTAGGCAACAGAGTAAGGCTCCAACTCAAAAAAAAAATTAATAAATAAATAAAACAAAGTATTTAGTTACTTTGTTGTGGCTAACTCTCGATATATTTTCATAGGAAACTGGATTTTGTATAAGAAATTGGATTCAGCCGGGCTCGGTGGCTCAGCCTGTAATCCCGCGCCTTTGGGAGGCTGAGGTGAGTGGATTGCCTGAGCCCGCGGGTTCGAGACCCGCCTGGGAGCGAGACCTCATCTCTACAATAAATCAAAAAATCAGCCGGGCGTGGTAGCGCGTGCCTGTAATTCCGGGTACTTGGAAGGCTGAGGCGGAAGGATCACCGGAGCCCAGCAGGTCGAGGATGTGGTGGCCAGGAGCGGCCACTGCACTCCAGTCTGGGCGACCCAGTGAGACTCCAACTCAAAAAAAAAAAAAGAAAGAAAGAAATTGTATCCATTTCAACTGGGATCTAACAAAGCTCTAAAATGAACGCATAGTGTATCTTTTCCTTTAAGACTTAAATTCCAGGCCAGGTTCGGTAGCTCAGCCTGTAATCCCAGCACTTTGGGAGGCCGGGGTGAGTGGATTGCCTGAGCTCGCGGGTTCGAGACCCGCCTGGGCAACTTGACGAGACCTCATCTCTATAATAAATCAAAAAATAGCTGGGCATGGTAGCGCACGCCTATAGTTCCAGCTACTTGGAAGGCTGTGGCGGAAGGATCGC